GCATTGTGAACAACTCGAATGACGTGAAAAAATGAATTTATAGAAGAATTCACAGCATTCAATGAAAACGGAAATCCATTACCTGTTCAAACTGAACTACGCGTAAGACAAACCAGCGCATCCAACAGAACAAAAATTTACTGCCACTACAAGCAGAAGTACTTAAGAAATATATATTTTATACCGATGAAACGTTATTACCTTTTGAAATACCAGGCAGATACAGCGCCAGCGACTGTGATGTGCTGACAAGCTACCACGAATTGCGATACCCAGAAGAAGCCGAAGATGTGATAAATGCGCAGCCACTGTAGGGTAAAATGGTCCCAAATTATGATGTGATATATACGCAGCCACTGTAGGGTAAAATGGACCCGAATTATGATGTGATATATACGCAGCCACTGTAGGGTAAAATGGACCCAAATTATGATGTGATATAAACGCAGCCACTGTAGGGTAAATGNAAGCTGAACTGATTCCCACAATTAACACTGATTTTCAACGTTTTGAAAGGGAACCTTCAAGAATATGAATATCATTGAATATCGAAATATTTTAAAAATATGATACAAGGAATATTTTCATTGACCCTGACTTATGTTCCAGAATTATTTTCAATGTGATAAAGACCTGATTTAATTTATTAGAAAAAATTTCATATTCATATGAAGTTGTCTTATTTCTCACCGTGCCAATGGTTGCAAATATGGCCGCTATCAGGAACTTAGTTGCAGAACCATCCTGAACTACGTCCGTGTTCTTGATGTGCCACAACAACCAGAGGTAAATGGTTCCTCCTACCGACGCTACCACCATAACGAAGACCGTGATCCATACCACCACACCCGCCAGGAACCTGTCAGTGAAGGAGTTGATTTTATCCATGCTACTGTGGATTTTATTCGTGATAGAGTTGATTTTATCCGTGCTATTATGAAAAACATTTAACTCACAATGACGAAGCGCTCAATATAGTAATAAAATCAGTTATTACATAGCATAGCATCGGGAAATCGTACTGATGAAATGAAAATATTTTGAGTTAAAAAATACTAAATTCTTGAGTTATAACCTTGCGTATGAACATCAATAGCAAAATGTTGGCCGAATTGAAATCTTCCAAGGAAAAAAATGTATCAATTTTTGGCAGAGCAGAAATTTGTATGAAACTAAAAATAGATATGTTAGGAAATTGAACTGAAACCGGAGAGTAGAAATAGACGATACGTAACTGGTTTTACAGTGAAGGAACAGTGCAAAAAGTCATACAAGAAACTCGAAACGCATGTTACCTTTCAGGACTCATAAAGTGGATTTACCATCGGAATGGATTAATAATGAATTCACAAGGGAGGTTTAGGAGTCAATTAGTATACACGCGCTTCGTTAGTTTTGTCTCACAGATGGCTCTTATTTGATATAATGATTGTAATAGCATGTCTATTGTACATAGTTGAACGATGTCAAACATTGTATTGCCAATAATAGTTTTCGCAAGAAAAAAGCTCTCATCGTTTTGAAAGTTTTTTTTTGTGAGGATTTAATCCGAGAAAGCATTTGAACTATAATGAATCAGGCTTCACCCTAAAGCCTAATTTCCTGACTTCGTTCATGGAGAGCTGCCCTTCACCCCTAAAAACACAATACAATACATAATACACCCCAACCCCAACATAACAATACACAATACATAATACACCCCAACCCCTACATAACAATACACAATACATAATACACCCCAACCCCTACATAACAATACACAATACATTATACAACCCAACCCCTAAAAACACAATACATTTTGCGCATTGAACAAGATCTTTTAACTGCATCAAACCAAGAAAAATAAGTTCAAGCACCATCGCACACCTCAGCATGATGATCACCACGAAAATGATATTGATGAGAAAAATAAATGATGAGAAAAATAACCTCAGCATGATGATCACCATCAATCATATGATAATTAAAAGTAACGCTATTGAGGGTGGATTATAAACTAAAGGGAATGATGTATGATACGAAGTGCGTGTGAGTGAATCGTGTTGTGTTTACCAGTTCGTGTAAGTGGATTCACATTCTATTTTACAACACTTCTCTTTAACTTCACTTCTTGATGTCTGTTTGTTTGTCTGTTAAAAATCTTTTTAGCGATATTTAACACACTTCTACTTTTCCAATCGATTTGAAACTTTTCACACTTGAGTAAAGTTGGAGACAATGCATGAATCAATTGACAGAATGAATAATTTTCGATATTAAAAAAATTTAATATTTAAAATTTTTCAATATTAAAAAATATTTTAATGATTTTTTAATATTTGGAAATAAATTAAAAAATTCATTGTACACTGACCTCTTTAGAAGTGTCTTCAAAAAGTAATTTCTAAACGCATATTATTTTTCTGTGAGTTAATGTGAGAATTAGTATATTAATTGATCAATTATTCGCGTAATTGTATGACATCCAACACATTAGGAAGCAAACGTGAGGGGAGGGGAGGATGGAGTGAAGGAGTGTGTTAATTGGTCAATTATAGGCATTATTGTAGGAGATCTAAGACACATTAGGGAACATGCGTGAAGGAGAGGGAGGGATGGAGTGAGGGGCATAAGCGGGGTGCAGAGGGGACATCCCGATGCCCGAGGGGCGATGCATGGGCGTGGGCATCTCCGAGGGCAGCCTGCTGGCACCCACCTGTGCGGACGCCTGAATTTACTGTGTGATTAATTCATTAGGGAATTCAGATAATTCATCAATTGAATGAAGACAATTTATCAATCTAAGGTCAATTAATTCATCAGGATTCGTTCCTTGAAGAAATTAAAGAAAAAGCTCAGATAATCTCAGAAATAAGGAGCATAATGTATATGCGAATATGTATGTTGGATAACTGAAAAGTATTTTCGTCATGTGAATGTTTCGCTAATTTTAAATCTCAAATTCATCTCAATTTATCTCAACTGGAGACTCCAATGATATAATTAAGTCACTACGTTGATTTTCCATAACGCTACACTAAATCAAATTTGCGCTCGACGATATTAAAAAATTACCATGAAATTGTTGAAAAGATTTTAGAGCTGACATTTAAAGAATGAAATTTTTTAGAATCCACTGGCAATTATTTTATGTTGTTCGTGTGTTTAGTCAAAATGGTTCACATCAACAAATACATTAATGCTCATGGCCACTGGCATTTGAAATATTATCAGTTTCACAATTATCGCTTTAAACACTATAATTTTCACTGTTATCACTTCCGTTATAATTATTTCAAAAATTGTATACCTTCATGACAATATATTTTTGTTCAGAGAAAAATAACAACGGATTGTTGTTTTTCTCTCTACCATCAAAATTATTTAATATATAGATGTATGTATACATATATGTATGTATACATATATGTATGTATACATAGAATTGCCATCAAAATTACGAACAATATATGCTTTACATTTACCTGGTAAGCTCCGACACTTTTGACCGCTGCACTCCCGTAGGGATCGCCGTTTCTTTTGGCATTCTCCACGTAGTCGAGTTGCTCCAGAGCCTTCTTGTTGTTCTCCACGAATTTCTGGAGAGAAAACCATACAGAAGATGAAGACATTTTCAGCTAACTGATCAGACAAGCAATTAACAGTGACAATATGTATAGAACTTGAAATGATTGAGGCTGCTTCAAGTCATTATTTGAAAGGTGAAACTTTCGGACTTATTTTAATTTGTTAAAGCAATAAAAAACGGATGTTTTACCTCTCAAAATTAGAGAAAATTGAATTGAAGTTGAGAATTTAAAACGTTCATGAAATATAATATCAGTACTGAAAATTAGGCTCAGATTTTCCAGATTAACCAGAAAAACTGTACCTACATGGGAAAAGTAATGAATATACTTTAATTTCAATTTACTTTTTTTTTCGCATACAAATAAAATATTATCCATAGTATTTGTAATGAAGTATTCAATTAATAATTATTATTTTAGTAATAGGTGAGAAAAAATCGGGAAAAATCTCACTCATGAAATAAATCTCACCATGAGGCTGCGACTCATGAAATAAATCTCACCATGAGGCTGCGACTCATGAAATAAATCTCACCATGAGGCTGCGACTCATGAAGTAAATCTCACCATGTGGCTGCGGCTCATGAAATAAATCTCACCATGAGGCTGCGGCTCATGAAGTAAATCTCACCATGTGGCTGAGGCTCATGAAATAAATCTCACCATGAGGCTGCGGCTCGTGAAATAAATCTCACCGTGAGGCTGCGACTCATGAAATAAATCTCACCATGAGGCTGCGGCTCATGAAATAAATCTCACCTTGAGGCTGCGGCTCATGAAATAAATCTCACCATGAGGCTGCGTCCAGCTCATTTTTTAATTCCCTAATTGGCACTTCTGCAGCTTAGCCTAACTGGAAAATTGTAGCAGAAACCACCAGTGGATCTGACAAAAATAAAAAATGTCCATGAATCAGGCCAAATTTCACCTGTTCCTATGGCCCTATCACAATTTCATTTGTAAAAATAAAAATAAATGATTTACTTTCATCTGCAGTTTTTTGAAATCACCCATAAAAAGATATTGTTTACCCATATTTTCAAGAAAATTCTGTCCAATGTTCTAAATTGGCAGTGTAGCAGGTATTAAAAAAGTTTTTTTTTGGCTGCCTGTCTCTTGTAATTGAATATTTTGAAAATCAGTTTTTGAAGAGTTTTGGAATGTCTGGATAAATTTTATTTCATCTAAAAAATGTCAATATTTATAAAATGTGATAAGAGAAAATTCTGGTTTACTGCTCAATAATTGTAACCTCATCATTCTTTTGAAAACATTGGTTCAATCAATATTGGATATCATGTTCTTTTTAAATCAGGAAACAATTTTTCTTAAAATATATTTGTGCTTGGCTATTTCTGTTAGCTGCAATTTTTGGATTTAAAATAATAAAATTAGGCTCAAGATAAATTCTTGTTACAGGATGCAGAATTGCAATCGCCATCCTGAGGGAGGTTGCTTGTGTGAGATGGGAGGCATTTCAATCGCAGTTGATGCTGGTAAGAAATGAGCTTTGTGGTATATATAGGTACATGCTCTTAGTGAGTATTAGTTGTTAATTGTTGTTTTTTTAGTATACATTGATTATATTTTATTAAAAATAATAAGCTTGTTGAAGACAATTATTGAGATGTATAGGTTTGTCTTGTATCTACCTGCTTAACTTCTAGCTAAAAGTAGTGACTGGAATAATTACTGCTTACATGTATCATTGTTAAAATAATTTTGTTTACATATTAAGCAACTAATAGTATGTCATTTCCACTCCCATAGTGGTAGTGGCATCCCTGATAATTTTCCATTATGTTGATCAATACTGTGTTCTTCTAAAGCAAGTTCATTAGGGGCATCTGTGAGCAATGGCTCCAACTACACCATGGCAGCATCCAACTGTGCCATGGATGCATCTAACTACACCATGGCAGCATCCAACTGTGCCGTGGATGCATCAAACATGCTATCTGTGCCTTCAACATCCAATCCTGCCGATCAGCCAACCAGGAAATTCAGTGCCACCACCAAACCTTTTCCTGTTGGTGGTAAGGGTTTCTTAATTACTGAACCATCCAACAGGGCTACTTGAGACTACAGGAGGGTGCTTAAGACACCATAGATAACGTATTGGTGATGTGCTTTTAAAACTTCAAATTTTGATTAAGGCCATGTTGCAAATTGGATGATTTTGCTAAAAATTTGTTATATTCAGAAATTTTTATTCCATAAGCTTGTTGGTTGTTGTTTTCAATTTTAAGATAGGTACCTATATAAAATTTCCAGCCCTGTTATAATTATAACTACAGAACATTTTTAGCCATGCAACTCTGAGCTTAGTTTTGGTGAGCAGAAGAGCGACTCCACCATGTGATGACTCCGCATGTGGTGGTGATGGTGGGACTCCCTGCCCGGGGCAAGACTTATATGGCTAAGAAGCTGACGCGCTACCTCAACTGGATAGGAATTAAAACTAAAGGTGAGCTCCAAGTGATAGCTGTGCTTTTATTATTCCTGCTAGTCTAAATTGAATACATTTGTACCATATTTTTATTACATTACCTTTACATTTTCTGGTTGTATTTATGTGTTTGTGCCTTGTATATTTCTTTAAATTTTCATTTCTTTTGTACATAAATTGATACTCAATTTTTTTCTTCCTTATCTGTCATGGCAATCAAATGGCAGTGGTTCTGTTGCTAGAAATTTTTATCTATTTGAAGGCTTCATTTATGTTAATTTTGTTCTTGCATGGATTTATTCATGACACTTGTTATAAAGGATTAATTGTGCTTCAATTTATTTGTACCTTTCTAAGCAGTTCGGTATCAATGATACAAATTTTGAAATCATTATTCTGGTTTGTGCCCAGACAGAGATTAAATTTTTTTCAAATTTCCTAAATATTGCCTGCCCATTTAATATTATGCATATCATTCTGATCCTTTTTTTATTTGTTTAATATTCAAGATACTAAAGATAGATACTAAAGCATGCCAGGTGTTCCTTCATGCTTTTAAGATGTGAAAGTTTGCCAATATATTATATATTGGCTGGCAATGTTGAGAAAGATTAAACAAATAATTTTCACGTTTTCATTAAATGATTAAGGTTACGTACCTAAATTCATCCTTTTTCAGTGTTCAACTTGGGGGAATATCGTCGTCGGGTCACAACAATGTACAAGAATCACAACTTCTTCAGGTCAGAACTACTCCAAATTTGTTTAAGGTTATCCAAAAAATAAATTATAACTCTGTTAATCTCGGCAGTGGGTGACCTACCCATGCTAGGAACTTATTAAAATTCTCATTGTGACCTTAGGGACTTGCAAGTCATCAGGAACTTGTTAAATAAACTTCTCATTGTAAACATAGGCACTTGCAAGGCGTCAGGTACTTGTTAATTGAAGTTCTCATTGTAACCTTAGGGACTTGCAAGACATCAGGAACTTGTTAATTAAAGTTCTCATTGTAATCTTAGGGACTTGCACGGCATCAGGTGGTCGTTTAGACAATTTTCTGCTTCATTGATGATTCAAATTTCATGTTTCCATCGAATTATTTATTATTTATTTGAGTGAACGTCCAGCTTTAACACCTAATGTGATCAATTTTAAATTAGCGGGGAGCTATAGACGGTCAGAATAATTTTCTACAAGTCGGAATTCTGCATTCAATACTGTAAAATTTCGTTTTTGGTGCTACTTCACTTACTTATAGGTTTTCAGGAAGAGTAGGTAAAATTATGCTAGGTAAGCTTGCTGCACTTGCAGGTCTGACAACTCAGAGGCAATGATCGTGCGCCAGCAGTGCGCCATCAAAGCCCTCGAAGATGTCTGCAAATGGCTCAAGGCAGAGAATGGCGAAGTGGCCGTAAGTATGGGCTTATTCTCATGCCACTCACAGGGTTTATAATAGATTAATGGCCAAGTGTCGTAAGGATTGGCATATTCTCATGCCACTCACAGGGTTTATTATAGATTAATGGCGAAGTGTTGTAAGTATTGGCTGCGGCATATTCTCATGCCACTCACTGGATTTATATTAGAATAATGGCGAAGTGTCGTAAGTATTGGCATATTCTCATGCCACTCACAGGATTTATATTAGATTAATGGCGAAGTGTCGTAAGTATTGGCATATTCTCATGCCACTCAAATGGTTTATATTAGATTAATGGCGAAGTGGCTGTTAGTATTAGCTTATTCTCATGCCACTCAAAGTGAGATTGCTCTCTTGTGGAAAATTTTTAATTTCTAAATCACGAGTATTCAAGATTTTTTTGTTGGTCCTGACTGTTTGTCATTAGACATGGTATGTTCACTTTATTGAATATTTTTTTTCCTTTTGGGGACTTCATAAGGTTTTCAGCTAATAGTAATTACGGTATATTAAATCGAATAAAGTAGCTTGCTAAGGATAATTTCATATTTTCATTCTGGAATGCTATCATTTCTCTAGAAGTTACAGAGATGCCCTAAATCAGTCCCAGTATCAATTTCAATGCTTGAGCAAAATTGAAAATATTGTGTAATTCGCAGCTCGGTTTATATTTACTTCACTTCGGGAAATAACTTGGATTGTTTTAGGTTCAAATGAGTTTGTCATTTACAGACATCTGCTCTTACACATTTTTATAACTTACGTTAACATTTTGGATATGGTCGTGTTCTTAGTGTTGATTGTGGAGATTGCGTGGTTTATCTCTTGGCTGTTAGTATTGGCATATTCTTATGCCACTCACAGGGTTTATATTAGATTAATGGCGAAGTGGCTGTTAGTATTGGCATATTCTCATGCCACTCGAAAAGTTTCTGTTAGATTAATGGCAAAGTGGCTGTTAGTATTGGCATATTCTCATGCCACTCAAAGTGAGATTGCTCCCTTGTGGAAAATTTCTAATTTCTATATCACTAGTATTCAAAATTTTCTGTCGGTCCTGATTGTTTTTCATGTTCACTTTCAACAATTTCTTCAGTTTTCTCTTTGGGGACTTCATAAGGTTTTCGGCTGATAGCAATTATATTAACTAGAATAAAGTAGTTTGCTAAGGAAAATTGTACATTTTCATTCTTAAATGCTATCATTTCACTAAAACTTACAGAGATGCCCTAAACCAGTTCCCAGCATCGATTTCAATGCCTGAGCAAAACTGAAAATATTGTATATTTCGTAGCTCAGTTATACTTTTATTTCACTTTAGGAAATAACTTGGATTGTTTTAAGTTCAAATGAGTTCATCATATGCAGACATCTGCTCCTACACAGTTTTGTAACTTACAGTAACATTTTGTATGTGGCCGTGTTATTAGTGTTGATTGTGGAGATTGCGTGGTTTATCTCCCGTAATCAACCTCTATGAAGTCTTGTGTTGTTACTATCAAACAGCTTTTAATTCACAAAATTCATCACATTATGCTACTCTCAAATAATTTCTATAATTTAATGTATCATTTTACTTAGTAAATGAAACGGGGTTGTATAAATAGGAATATTAGACTTGAACTTACCCTCCTCGTTTTTATGTGTGATTGAATATTTCAGGTTTTTGACGCTACAAATACAACTCTGGAACGCCGCAAGCTGATCCACAGCATTGTTGTTGGCCAGATGGGCTGCAAACTCTTCTATGTCGAGAGCATTTGCGAAGACCAGTCAATCATAGAGTCTAACATCATGGAAGTGAAAGTCAATGGTCCCGATTACAAGGGCATCAGTGCAGAAGTTGCCCTAAAAGATTTCTTGCTCCGAATTGATCATTACAAACGCGAATATCAGCCTTTGGACGAGGAGAAAGAGGACCACCTTTCTTTCATGAAAATATACAATACTGGTGAAAAGGTCGTAGTGCATAAACATGAAGGCCACGTCCAGGCCCGTATTGTGTATTATCTCATGAACATCCATGTTACGCCTCGCTCAATATACCTGTCACGTCACGGGGAGAGCATGCATAACGTGGAGGGTAGGATTGGCGGTGATACTGATCTGAGCAATCGAGGACTACAGTATCGTGATGAGCTTGCAAACTACATCAACTCTCAAAACATTCCCCATTTAAGAGTATGGACTTCATGGCTGAAACGCACCTTGCAAACCGCCAGCAAGATCAAGGCGCCCCAGGAACGCTGGAAGGCTTTAAACGAAATCGATGCTGGAGTTTGTGAAGAACTCACCTATGCTGAAATTAAGGAAAAGTATCCTGCTGATTTCGAGGCTCGGGACTTGGATAAGTTGACGTACCGCTACCCCAGAGGGGAGTCTTACGAGGACCTCATAGCTCGGCTGGAGCCCGTCATCATGGAGCTGGAGCGTCAGGCCAACGTGCTGGTGGTGGCCCACCAGGCCGTGCTGCGCTGTCTGCTTGCGTACTTCATGGACAAGCCTTTAGGTGACATCTTCTCATGCACGGTGCTCGTTATTTATTATCAGAAGAGCTAATACTACGTCTTTTTTAATTTTGTTACTTGGCTCAATATCTTCAACTTTTTTTCAAGCTGTCCCCAAATTATTTTTGAGATTTGAGTACATTGGATTATTTTAGCAAGGTTTCCACAATACTTAGTAGTACGTACATAATTTCCTACATCACAGCGAGTTATTTGCAAAAGCTGACTAACGTCTTGCGCGTAATTAACAAACCTGAGATACATTTTGGTGTCTACCAAAAAAGGAGCCCTACTTTTTGGTACCTCTATCATGACATACCTAACTCGTAGCAAGTAAAAACATGATCTGACCCCATATGTTTTCAGAGGCGCTGCCATACATTCACGTGCCCCTGCACACGGTGATCAAGTTGACTCCCGTGGCGTACGGCTGCAAGGTGGAGTACGTCGACCTGCAAGTGCCGTCCGTCAACACGCACCGAGGCAAACCTAGAGTGCCAGGAGCGCTGGAGTCTCCTGAGGCTTTAGGACAGTCCGGCCTCCATCCTGAGGAACAAGATCACAACACTTCCTATGAAATCCCAACGTCAAGCGTCATCGACACGCACTACGAGGCCCACACCTCGGGTGTCATCGACAATCGCAGCCTTGCATCCTGAGTTTGACTGCAATTTAGGCCTTAACTCGAAAGCAAGTTTCTTAGGATTTTTACTCAATGTATTTGGATTTCACAAATTATTTCTTTGCTCGATTTCTCTTTGTATTAATTTTTCATCTACATAGTGTATTGCTTCTACTATCTTGTCCTTAGTTGAAGTTTGTCGGTCGTGTAGAAACTTGTTTTGAACGGTAATTCTTTGCAAATTTAGTGCTCTATTTTTCTCGAATTGGTAATTAGCTTTGAAATAGATAGTTATCATATCTATTGTAAGTGGGTGTGCAATATTCCATGTGATATAAGCCTCATATTGGATGTGTCTTATCAGTCCTGCACACTACGACTTGATTCAGGCACTTATTTTCAGGCTAGAACACGCCGGTCTGAATGTTTCCGTAGAAGTTGAGTCTGTGCTAGAGTTGTCTGCTATTGATGCAGGTAAAGGGTGAAATGAACTACTACATTCGATTACTCATTGAAGCTGCAGACCTGTCTATTTTTGTCGGTGATACCTGTTGTAATGTCTTAGCATTCGATTTAGATCCTTTGTGCCATCAATGCTGTGCGTAAGTTACTTGCATTCATACGTGCGATAATTTCTATTGCCTTCCTAACGTTCATCTAATTATACATCGTTAACTGAAGCTTTATTGTTACAGTTTGGTAATATTCTATTTTTTTTAGAATTTAAGCCGGTTTACTTCTAGTTTCAACTTCATCCCGAAATGTTTTCAACATCAAACCTCATTTTTTGGAGGAGCATCTTTTGGAGCACTCCTGATTTCCGGTTCTTTTTACTACTTTTTCTTTTATTAATATTTTTGTGGTTATTCCTTCTTCCTTTTTTTATAATACAAATCCTGCTCAAGTTTAGCATTCCAATCAGTTTTCTCGTTAAGATTTCAGGTCGTCCGACTAGGTTAGCCATGTCATTGGCGTTTTTAAAGTAGTTTTTAAGCCTCAGCGCTGCTTCCACTCCATGTATTTTTGACTTAGCTTGTACAGCATCTCGCGGCTTCCTTGTTACTGCTTAAGTTTGTGTTTTTCTTAGCATCACTGGATAAATGGGCTAATATTGGTGCTCGTTTCCCTTCTGATGTATTTATTCCTAGCTGAACAATGGTCTGTTGATAGCCAGTACAAGATTGGTGGTATCAGTGATGAGCTTGTTTTGAAATTGAATTTCCTGGAATGTAGCAGCTTCCACATGAGGTCAGTTTCGTTTCTTCGATTTACTTCTCTATGTTTTCATTCTTTGGCTAGCCAGTAGTAAATATCCCCAGTTCATTTATCAACTGAATTAGCCCTTTTGGTGATTTCAAAGCTGGTTCAAAGCAACTAAAATGTCTTCTATTTCACACCAATTATGAGTCGTACGCTGAGCCGGGATACATGTTTGGTAGGGCCCCAATAGTTACTTTTTACGTTGATTTATTTTGTCTTGGTGAGGATTGAAGTGCAACGCGCCTGAATTTTTCTAGGACAGCAAAAGTTTCCAGTTGCGTCCAATAGAAAATACGATCAGATTGTTGGAAATAATTTGTAGTGTTCTGGATCCGTAGAGATTTCACTTGCAGGATGTTCGTTCATTAAGATTTAAAAAGCACTAGGAGTCTTTAGCATCAAAAGGCAGCTGCAAAAACAACAAAATCTGTTCCTTATCTTCACTTCTCTCTTGTAATGTTTGATTGCTTGGATATATGTTACGTATTGTAACGCTAGGAGATAGCATTACATTTATTGTTATTAAGGATACTAGTTCTTCGATGCAGCGTAAGGCTCAGGCTACCTAATTATTGCAGCTCTTTATACCTACGAGAATTTATATGAATATCGCTGCGCACTTTATCATGATTGTATAATCTACTTCGATCACGCGCTGTAGGAGGATCATTTTTTCTCCAACTGTCGAACGTTCTAGATGGATTGTACGTTCTTCCACTGTTGCAGGCTTTAGAAGGATCTAGTTCTCCAAAAAGCATGCCGTACGTTTTGGATGGATCGCATGTACTCCGAAAGTCGTACGTTCTGGAAGAATTAATTTCTACGAGACCCTATGTTCTTCGATAAATTATTTTTGTTCTCACTTTGTTCCTCGATCCAAAGTAACCTTCATCTGAGCGTCAGCTATTCGAAGGTTTCGTCCAAACCTGAAGCGAGTTTTACTGCTTATATATTGAATTCCTTTTAAGGGCCTGGCAATCATTTTCCACCATTTGCCCGTGTTACTTTTGATACGGAAAAGGGCACAATTTTTAACTCGACTGGTTTTTAGCTTACTGTGGTGCATAAATAAAGAGATTAAATTTTCGTAAAAATAATTGTACAAAAGAGTATAGCGTTTTCTTCGTCGTCTAAAAATGTTTTTTTTTTACTTTTTGAAGTTTATTTCCTCTAGATAGAGCTTCTAAATTACTCTGAGTCCTGTATTCAATTAATTGATAAAATAAATTATTGTGAAAAACCGAAGATTTCGAGGGGAAGATTGCTGCACCGAGAAACTGTGGTGCGCACTAAAAGTTTTTGCGTAACGAAAGTTTGCTCACAAAATATCCCGCTCTTGACTGCATTCGAATTAAGAGTTTAATTTTTAAAATCACTTTCATTTCAAATTTTCTCCCATCCAATTTTTTAATAACATTGTTTTACCGACCATAATGATTTCCAGGCAGCTTTTGTAACAAGTTTAATTTTGCCAGCTTTTGTTAATTAAATGATCTTGGGAGTTTCCCGTACGTGGTTCAAGATCACAACATTTCTAGATCGTGTTAATCTGTTGTATAGTTCGGGCTGCTAAAATTTTCATTGTTAAATTCAGTATTAATGCGTCACAATAATATACATGTACTCCAAGACCATCTGGCGTGATCCTCTTGTAGTGATAATTCAGCTTCTTGTTGCAACTTTAATGTAACTCGTTTTATATTTTAGGGTTGCCTTTTTATTTATAAGTGCTCATTTTTGTTGCTTTATACTTGCAGCCATCAAGGATGATAAAACCTGGAAATATCGTACCTCGGCGAATGATGTTGGCACGTCGTGTCTGAATAATGATGAATCGTGTCTGAATAATGATGAATCTTGTCTGAATAATGATGAATCTTGTCTGAATAATGATGAATCTTGTCTGAATAATGATAAATCTTGTCTGAATAATGATGAATCTTGTCTGAATAATGATGAATCTTGTCTGAATAATGATGAATCGTGTCTGAGTAAAGTGATAACCGTCATTGGACTGTCAAGCAAACGGCAGCTGCTGGAAGTAGAAGGCTATTATAAAATTTTTTATTTGTCCACCTTATTCGCGTGAGCGTTGTCGTCTTGTAGGACATCATTGAGAACTTGCCACCATATTGCCTTAGGGCAAGACTTTTCCTAAACCATGGTGATCATTTCTACATTTCCTTCTTTCTTATTTTTATTTTTATTGCCCGGGATGCGTTTCGCAACTGGAAATATTTGAGATGAAAGATGCTTCAAATCGTAATATTTCTTTCGGTGCGAGATAGCTTAATAGCTGAAGCGCTAGTAAACATTTGGCCACTAAACTAACTAACTAACTCTGCATTCGTAAGAAATATGCAGAATTTCAAAGCAATAGAGGATGAATTTACATCGTGTGCCTGGAAAATTTTTGTCGATTTTGCATTCTGCGGCTTCTTTGTTACGGATGAAACAGCAACTGATGAACCACTCTTCCAGCTAAGACTATGAATTACAATTTTGTTGACTGATTTTTAAGCTATGCATTTCTGAGTCACTGGCGACTCGCTAACAATATTCATCATAGATTATCAATGTCGATGGAAGCATACCGATGAATTTTGGTACAGTTGATGACCTCAAAGTTTATCTGCGACGTTGATCTGTTCATATTCCACCTCGTAACTGTTGATATAAAAAACTAACAAATTTTCATCTCGGTATTCAGGTATTTTACTAAGAATCCATCTGAAGTTCGTACAAATTTTCACTATTGATTTTCGTGCAATTAATTAACTCCAGAAGTCGTATGATGAACTCGATTGACATGCGAGTGAAGGAGCCGTATTCCTGTAAATTTGAATATATTCCGTCGACCGAGTTAAAATCTATGAACGTAAATTGTTAGCCGTTTTAATGTAGTAGAGCATTTTCTTTTTGGGCACTTGGCTTCAGCTTATGAAATGGTTTGCTGTTCATGTAACGATAAGGAGATTGTTCTTGTATTTTTATGATTGGAAATCAAAAGTTGTCGGGTCGCACAGCTAAACGCACACTGAATGGCTGATGGAATTCAAATCATAAAATATTTTACTTTTTTAGTAAATTCCTGCATAGAAATGAAGAAATGTTTTCAATTGTTGAGAACTACGTCTGCCAAGCTGTCATGATAAATAAACGATGTCGGGTATAATTTTTCGTGCATGAATTTATTTTGTGTTGAAAGTCTTAAATGGCGTTGGTGTTTTTAATGCGGCTACACGTGGTGGGGCGGAAGATTTTCTCTCCGTCCGCTAACGTCTTGTGTTCCGTGATCCTGTCACTATTTTCTATAATAAAAGCTTCCAACTTCTCAATGGTATTTAGTAATAAAGATTACTTGTCAGACGTGTACCAGACGTTCCTGTGTATCATTTGCTGTACTGTGTCTTGTGAGTGTTCAGGAAGTTGCTTTCTTTGTCAATCTATTGAAGAAAGGAAGCTACATGATCAGTTGTTATAGCAAATGCTAATAAAATTCATACTTTTCATAGACATGAATTTTATACGTACGGCTTTAGAACGTTTATTCCAAAAAAATGTACAAGTCTCACTGAATCAGAAGTATGAATACAAAGCATGGTGAAGTTTGCCTGATAGTGTCATCCTTGGCATGATGTCGTCCATGACTGTTAACTCTACTTCTTTGTAACAAGGGAAAACGAAAACGTCAATGCGAACAAGCGTCTTTAATTGAATTATCATTTGTGACGTCGGCATTCAACCTTAATCTATAAACCATGATTGTTAACTTTACTTCTTTGTAACAAGGGAAAACGAAAACGTCAATGCGAACAAGCGTCTTTAATTGAATTATTTGTGACGTCGGCATTCAACCTTAATCTATAGACTAATATATGCTTGAGTAATACATTTACGGTAAGTACACGATGCAGAGTAATTGAGGGCGCCAGGTTACAGTAATGCCTTTGGGGTGCCGCTATTAGACTAGAATAAAAGCTCTGATTGCAAGTCACGCTTACATCGTGTGCCTGGAAAAATTTTGTCGATTTGCATTCTGCGGCTTCTTTGTTACGGATGAAACAGCAACTGATCCTGGAGTTATTATAAATAAAGAGTTATTATCACAGACACAATCATTTGTAGACACTCTGAAAAATATGTCATATAGTCCAAGTTAGTGACACTTTCTTATCCATAGCCTGAGGTGAGAGTCGAGTTATCCTTCGCTCTCTTCCACTACGGCCATCTTCACCCAAGAAGAGTCAGGATGTCTTATCTAGGGCAAAATGTGCATCGCTATCTGGACAAAGTTCTCGTCATTTCTTTGAGTGTACGTACGTAAGCTTAACGGACAGCCGAACATGTGATACATTACAAAGTTCACTCTGAAGAAGTACATCATGATTATTCCAATGTGGGTTTACAGGTACCGAGCTGAATTGGTTATTCAACTAAAATTCTGCCGAGCACGAGAGATTTATATTTTTTACAAAATTTACAAGTTACAGTCAAATCCTAGGTTCAGAAAAGTCTGTCAGTTGTCTTTCCATCAAACGCATGCGAGGCTCATTGAATCGGTGTAAAATTATCTAACCAATTATTGACGAATAAACTTTTTGGGTTAACATTATGTATGATTTAAAACTCGTTTGCGGCCATCAAAAATGTGAAAATACGAAGCCAAAACGTGAATTTGTTCAAAACGGTAGACAATACCCGAATTTGAAAATCTGGTTAGAATTAATTCTCTTCCATTAAATGTCGCAAGGAAATTGGGTGTTGATTATTAAGCATCCCCGAAAAGTCAAAATTACTTCGGCTGCCTGGACGCGAATTTAGAATCCCGTCGTAATGTTTGATCAGGATTAAGGCACTAAATCTTAAAAAAAATATGTTCATCAATAAAAATTGAATCTGTCCTACGAATCTTATGGAAGTAAAAACGATAACACTTCACGATAAGTTACGAACAGCTTCTAAAAGGCACGTGAGTGAAGTTATATTCTCGTGTTAACGAAAATGTGAATACTCTTATATAGTATAGTATCTTCGGCATTAAATAATAGGCCTGGATAGGCTCTTCTCAAGTTTCAGCTGATAATATTAGCTCAAAAACATGACATTTTGAAAACATCAATCATATGATAATTAAAAGTAACGCTATTGAGGGTGGATTATAAACTAAAGGGAATGATTTATGAATTGGTCAATTATAGGCATAATTGTAGGAGATCTAAGATATAACATAACATAACACATAACATGGTGATGCCTTCGTCGAAGAATAGGCCTCGTGTGGCCTGTCGCCGATTAGGGAACAAACGTGAGTGAGAGAGATGGAGTGAAGGAGTGCATTAATTGGTCAATTTTAGGCATAATTGTATGAGATCTATGACACATTAGGAACATGCGTGAGGGGAGGATGGAGTGAAGGAGTGTATATTGGTCAATTAATGGCGTAATCGTATGAGATTTAAGACACATTAGGGAACATGCGTGAGGGAGAGGGAGGGATGGAGTGAGGGGCATAAGCGGGGTGTAGAGGGGACATCCCGATGCCCGAGGGGCGATGCATGGGCGTGGGCATCTCCGAGGGCAGCCTGCTGGCACCCACCTGTGCCGAGGCCTGAATTTACTGTGTGATTAATTCATTAGGGAATTCAAATAATTCATTAATTGAATGATGACAATTTATCAATTTAAAGTCAATTAATTCATCAGGATTTGTTCACTGAAGACATTAAAGAAAAAGCAAATAATTCATTAATTGGTTGATGGCAATTTATCAATTTAAAGTCAATTAATTCATCAGGATTCGTTCCCTGAAGAAATTAAAGAAAAAGCTCAGATAATCTCAGAAATAAGGAGCATAATGTATATGCGAATATGTATGTTGGATAACTGAAAAGTATTTTCGTCATGTGAATGTTTCGCTAATTTTAAATCTCAAATTCATCTCAATTTATCTCAACTGGAGACTCCAATGATATAATTAAGTCACTACGTTGATTTTCCATAACGCTACACTAAATCAAATTTGCGCTCGACGATATTAAAAAATTACCATGAAATTGTTGAAAAGATTTTAGAGCTGACATTTAAAGAATGAAATTTTTTAGAATCCACTGGCAATTATTTTATGTTGTTCGTGTGTTTAGTCAAAATGGTTCACATCAACAAATACATTAATTCTCATGGCCACTGGCATTTGAAATGTTATCAGTTTCACAATTATCGCTTTAATGACTATAATTTTCACTCTTATCACTTCCGTTATAATTATTTCAAAAATTGTATACCTTCATGACAATATATTTTTGTTCAGAGAAAAATAACAACGGATTGTTGTTTTTCTCTCTACCATCAAAATTATTTAATATATAGATGTATGTATACATATATGTATGTATACATATATGTATGTATACATAGAATTGCCATCAAAATTACGAACAATATATGCTTTACATTTACCTGGTAAGCTCCGACACTTTTGACCGCTGCACTCCCGTAAGGATCGCCGTTTCTTTTGGCATTCTCCACGTAGTCGAGTTGCNGCGCTCTTCAATCCATTCGTGCACTGAATTGGAGATGTAGATCACAATAAATTCGAAAAAGAAAAATAAAATGTTTGTTTTTAATTGGTACAAAAAATATATTTATAAATCAATCGCACTGCATCGGAAGGAGTGATTTTCTGATGGTATGACCAACAGCGACAGTCACTGGTTCGAAAAGCTTGAACAATTACTTACGCCACAAAAAAGACACTTTAATTTTCTTTTGTAAGCGCATATGGCGCTGTTTATAAATATATAACTGGAATAAATAAATAACTGGAATAAATAAATAACTAGAATAAATAAATATCTTGAAATAAAGACAGGGTTGGACGCACCTCGTATATAGAGACGAAGCAATGGATGGTCAGAGCCACGCACACCAACCCCACGACCAGCGGCACAAACTCGTACTTGATGCCTTGCTGGACCTGAATGCCAAAAATAATGTTTTTTAGCAAATTTTCTTATTTATGGAACAAATTCACTATTGTGCTCGCCATGTCTGTCTGTCCGCCCGTCTGTCCGTCCGTCCGTGACCTCAAGTTTTCGTCGACGAGAAAATGCGCTCTCTGTCACTCACTGCAGTGAGTACTGAGTTATATTTTTTGTCATAGTGAACAAAACTACTGCATATTACTCAGCTCATTGTCAACTCAGCCATTCATCCAACTCTGGTTGATAAACGAGTACCTGGCTTGTCCAGGGTGTTGCGTAATGCAAAAATGGTTCTGGCAGGTCAGCGAGCCAGTGATGGTCGTAGAACTACCAGTGGTACCAAGTGCCCGGAAAACTGACCTATCACCCCCCTCCCTAGTTGCCACTACCAGGATGGCAAAAATAAGCTAAAAAGGGTAATTACACACACTGCATATTATCTAGTAGTATTAATTATAAAAAAAACGTGTATTTATTCGACTTCTACCTTTATGTTATTTATTACTTACCGAATTTGTTTTTTTTACACATTTCTCTTTTGACCATTTTTTTTGTATTCATGTGGGAAAAATTTATGGACATTAGGTGAGGTGGACATTCAAGAAACTTATACTCAAAAGTAAAAATAAAGAATATCCAATAAGACTTAAGACTGATGAAACATTTGAGCTCTATAATATACCTGATTCGTTGTAGGAAAAGCTTTTTCTGCTGCGTTTATGAGTCATAATAAAATAATTGCTGCCCCTTAAGTGCATTTTTATGGGAAGATATTGATCGAATTTTCAGATTGGGGGTATTTTCTGATAATTACTTATTTTACAAAGCGTGAATGAATGACATCTTCCTAGTTCTCACCCTGATTATTTCGTATCCGATGAAGCCACTGGAGATGACCACTGCAGCCTGTGGGTAATTAGAATTATAATAACCTGTATTACAATAAAATAAAAATAATAAAAACGTATCTCTTTGCATATGAAGCCTCATACCTGTTAAATTTTCTGTCTCTTAGGACCGTCGTTCATATATCGACGTTATCCATTTAGAGAAATAACCTCAACATTAACTTCCATTGCTGAGAATATTTCAGAAATAAACCCCCAAATGAAAAAAAAAACGCGTCAAACTCCCCGAGCATTTTGATTTATGATATCAAAACATGACACACCTCTGACAAGAACAAGACAACATCTCGGACCATGGCATGTAGATTGGTACCGTAATACGTATCTGTACATTATTTAGCTGTATATTTATTAGCTTATTAAAACATAGAGCACCTTTGACAGGAACAGAACGAAGTCCCCGACCAAGTAGATTGTTGATATCAATTTATTATTTCGCTGTATATTTACTAGATTATTAAAAGATGAAGCACCTTTGAGAGAAACAGGACGAAGTCGCCGACCATGTTGATGGCCGTCACGCGGAAAGCGTTCGACGTTATGATGTTGAAGGCTTTCTGCGCCGCCTTACAGAACCCGTGCCCGAAGATGGCTGAACAGTCAGAATTACCAATTATTAATCGAAGTAAAATATTAGACTTCTAATCGCATTTGTTGAATTGTAAAAATAGGTAATAAAAATTAAAAGGACATCAATATATGTAGATAATGTGAATAAAAGTGATGTATACAATGCAAGTAATACATAATCATTGATGCGAGTGTTGACCGTTTCTATATACTTAATTTATATTACTAACATTAAATTAAAAATTATGAGTGTTAGACCTAGTAGGAATACTTAATAAAATGGATCAATATAAACAATATTATTCTAATTTTACCGATTGTAATTATATATTAGTCATTGCGAATACGCTTTTATAATATAAGGAACAAATTATTAATAACAAACCTATCTCGATGAAGGCGTTACGGGTGATATACTTGAGGAACTGTTCGAAGCACGCGAGACAGCACTGGCAGCACTTGAGCAGGCAGCCCAGACCGCTGTCTGGTGACACGCGCTTCTGCAGTTGCTGGGGGTAACGCAAATAAATTGCGTGAGGACAGAAACGTGACTTAATAAAGTTGTATGATGAGATCCTAGTGAGCAAATTATGTAGGCGTGCAGCAACAGTCTTAGAAATAAATTATAAGACTCCAGATACATAAATTAATAAAGTTGTATGGTGACACCTTTCAACGCAAATTAAAGGCTGTAGCGCAGTGAAAGTTATGGAAAGTAAACATGGTATTCCACAGAATGAATATTTACTGACAAGTTCCTATAAGACGGGAGGGGTACGAAGGGATAGCTTCATTTTCAACGAAATAATTGACGGGCGAAAAGCTCGGACATTCGATTGAGAAAAGTATAATCTCTAAACACATGAAAAAGGATTCCTGAGAAACCGAAAGGAGTTACTGTTGAGATTCAAAATATCAACAATCTTGCTCATTGGAAAGTTACAAGCTTGAGATTTATTTACTTATCCTAATAGAAGATAAGCTACTTAGGGAATAGTGAGCTATATATATACATGGCTAGAAGAAGTTGTTGAGGCATCTGAATTACTGCTATGCAAATGTCTATCATGTCTTTTTGCACGAAAAAATTTTTCAATTAAAACGAAAACAAAATTTTAACAGCCAGATAAATTACAGTACCTTTGGAGTGGAGTATTAGAATACCTTGAGCATGTACCGTATCATCAGAATACCTTGAGCATATACCGTATCATTTAATAACTTGAGCATATATACCGTATCATTTAATAACTTGAGCATATACCGTTTCATTTAATACCTTGAGCATATATCGTATCATTTAATACCTTGAGCATATACCGTATCATTTAATACCTTGAGCATATATCGTATCATTTAATACCTTGAGCATATATCGTATCATTTAATACCTTGAGCATATAAGTTGCTTCTTGTCCCTGGTCCATTGAAAGTGCATCATATATTAGTTCAACGTTGAAAAATTCATATAATGTTCGTTTTTAAATTGAATCAATTTCTAAAGTTTGGTGATATTCACAACTGGATTCAGCGAATTGTTATGCATATCATGCACAGATTGAGGATTAATTATAAAAAATGTTCCGTAAGTAATTTTAACAAAATGACATGCTAATTGTTTTACATTGTAAACAACACGAATGACAAACTGAACTGAATTACGTAAGACAAACCTGCGCATTCAACAAGAACGAAAATTTATTACCACTGCAAGCAGAACTACGTAAGACAAACATTCAATAAAAATGAAAAATTATTACCTTTTGAAATACCAGGCTGATACAGCGCCCGCGACTGTGATGTGCTGACAAGCTACCACGAATTGCGATACCCAGAAGAAGCCGAAGATGTGATAAATGCGCAGCCACTGTAGGGTAAAATGGTCCCAAATTATGATGTGATATATACGCAGCCACTGTAGGGTAAAATGGACCCGAATTATGATGTGATATATACGCAGCCACTGTAGGGTAAAATGGACCCAAATTATGATGTGATATAAACGCAGCCACTGTAGGGTAAATGGCCCAAAATGATTTAGTTGTTAGCTTTTGTATGAATCTTTATGTTCAGACTAAAAATATTAGGAAGCGAACATGGAGCACTAATGTTTAAGAGTTACCTGAACAACGACAGATCTGTAACATCTAAAAAATGGAGCTAAATTGGTTGAGTTATTAGAAGTACCAAAATTGAAGCAGTTAGTTGCGAGTTCGAGACTCGGCTAGCTGGGAGTATTTTGCGACGCCTTGAATCGGCGACACACCAGATATGAACAATTCATGTCTGAATATGTTATCCATCAGCATTCTTCGATGGAAAACAAATTGCATCATTCTGGGATTTGTTCTTCAATCTTCTAGCCTGCGTGATACCAAAAACAAATTGTTCCGAAATTTCTATTTAAATTTCTTCATCAAATTTGGACCGAAGGAATGATTTTTTTTATTTACATCAATGAGCGGGATTGGTTTGAACTCAATCTCATCCTTATTCTGCGTAGGTTCGCCAGCCGCCGAAATGATGATCAGTCCTCCTGCTGTCACCAGCAGCACCAGGGACATCGCCAGCACCGTCTGTGACAGATTCACAGTATATTGCGACTAATAGCAAAATTAAATAAGAAATACTACGTAAATGTTATTGCTATGTGTTTAAAATGCTAGCTTTTGAGTTTAACATGACTCTTGTGATCAAAGAAATGAAGTGCCGTTCTGAAATGAGGTTCATTTCATTAAAATGATTCTAGAAAATAAATGCGAAATTTAACCTGTCAAAGTACTTCATTCCTTGATTAGATTTGGCTTTTAAATGATTCTCAACCTATGTTAGCATGCATAGGGACAATTGAACCTACACTCGGTGCGATTATAACTTTACAAATTATGCAGTTGGTGGGATTATAACTTAATAAAATTATGCAGTTGGTGTGATTATAACTTAATACCTTGAATCGGCGACACACCAGATATGAACAATTCATGTCTGAATATGTTATCCATCAGCATTCTTCGATGGAAAAAAGATTGCATCATTCTGTGATTTTTTCTTAAATCTTCTAGCCTGCGTAATACCAAAAATAAATTGTTCCAATATTTCTATTTAAATTTCTCCATCAAATTCGGACCGAGGCAATGACTTTTAGCGCATTTTCTCATTTATGGAAAAAAGGTGCGATTGTGCTCGCCATGTCCGTCTGTCTGTCCGTCTGTCCCTCCGTGACTTCGTTTTCGTCGATGAGAAAATGCGCTCTCTGTCACTTACTGCAGTGAGTACTAAGTTATATTTTTTTATTTACATCAATGAGTGGGATCGGTTTGAAGTAAATCTCGTCGTTATTCTGCATAGGCTCGCCAGCTGCCGAAATGATGATCAGTCCTCCCGCTGTCACCAGCAGCACCAGGGACATCACCAGCACCGTCTGTGACAGATTCACGGTATGTTGCGACTAATAGTACAAATTAAATAAGAAATGCTACGTAAATGTTATTGCTATAGGTTAAAAATGATCTTTTCTGAGCTTAACACGGCTCTTATGATCATAGTAATAGAGTGCCTTTCTGCAATGAGGTTCATTTATAGAAAAAATGAGTTTGGAAAATCAGAGTGAAATTTAATCTGTTTAATATATCATCAAAGTTATTCGTTTTCATGATTAGATTTTGCTGTTAAATTATACTCAACCTATCTTCGCATGCATAGAGACAACTAAGCCCACACCCGGTGCGATTATAATTTATAACATAATAAAATTACGCATTTTGTGGGATTATAACTTAATAAAGTTATGCAGTTGGTGCGATTATGACTTAGTAAAATTATGCAGGTGGAGCGATTATGACTTAGTGAAATTATGCAGTTTGTGGGATTATAACTTAATAAAATTATACAGTTGGCGGGATTATAACATTATAAATTATACAGTTGGTGGGATTATAACATAATAAAATTATGCAGTTGGTGGGATTATAACTTTACAAATTATGCAGTTGGTGGGTTTATAACTTAATAAAATTATGCAGTTGGTGGGATTATAACTTAATAAAATTATGCAGTTGGTGCGATTATAACTTAATAAAATTATGCAGTTGGTGGGATTATAACTTAATAAAATTATGCAGTTGGTGCGATTATAACTTAATAAAATTATGCAGTTGGTGGGATTATAACTTAATAAAATTATGCAGTTGGTGCGATTATAACTTAATAAAATTATGCAGTTGGTGGGATTATAACTTAATAAAATTATGCAGTTGGTGCGATTATAACTTAATAAAATTATGCAGTTGGTGGGATTATAACTTAATAAAATTATGCAGTTGGTGCGATTATAACTTAATAAAATTATGCAGTTGGTGGGATTATAACTTAATAAAATTATGCAGTTGGTGCGATTATAACTTAATAAAATTATGCAGTTGGTGGGATTATAACTTAATAAAATTATGCAGTTGGTGCGATTATAACTTAATAAAATTATGCAGTTGGTGGGATTATAACTTAATAAAATTATGCAGTTGGTGCGATTATAACTTAATAAAATTATGCAGTTGGTGGNGAATAAAAACGGCGACACGGTGTTTCTTTTCACGTGCCGACCGGCCACTGAAACGCCGATAATACCGTTAACGGTAATTTTTCTAACAGTGATAATACTGTTGAGGTAGTGCTGATAATTTATGTAATTATTGGGAGATTCCAGGATATGAACCTGAATACAACGTTAATACAACCTGTTCCACATGTGACGGAGATTATTCATCAGCTCATACAAAATAAAACAACTTTACATAAAATAATTAAATTGAGCTGATTGCCACAATTAGCTTTGATTCTCATCAACGTTTAGAAAGGGAACCTTCAAGGATATAAATATGCTTGAATGTGGAATAATTTTTTGAAATGTGATCCAAGGAATATTTTCCAGGTCCCTGACTTATGCTCCACAATACAATTATTTTCAATGTGATTAAGATCTGATTGATTTACCAGATTTTTTTGCATAAATATGAAGTTGTCTTATCTCTCACCGTGCCAATGGTTGCAAATATGGCCGCTATCAGGAACTTAGTTGCAGAACCATCCTGAACTACGTCCGTGTTCTTGATGTGCCACAACAACCAGAGGTAAATGGTTCCTCCTACCGACGCTACCACCATAACGAAGACCGTGATCCATACCACCACACCCGCCAGGAACCTGTCAGTGAAGGAGTTGATTTTATCCATGCTACTGTGGATTTTATTCGTGATAGAGTTGATTTTATCCGTGCTATTATGAAAAACATTTAACTCACAATGACGAAGCGCTCAATATAGTAATAAAATCAGTTATTACATAGCATAGCATCGGGAAATCGTACTGATGAAATGAAAATATTTTGAGTTAAAAAATACTAAATTCTTGAGTTATAACCTTGCGTATGAACATCAATAGCAAAATGTTGGCCGAATTGAAATCTTCCAAGGAAAAAAATGTATCAATTTTTGGCAGAGCAGAAATTTGTATGAAACTAAAAATAGATATGTTAGGAAATTGAACTGAAACCGGAGAGTAGAAATAGACGATACGTAACTGGTTTTACAGTGAAGGAACAGTGCAAAAAGTCATACAAGAAACTCGAAACGCATGTTACCTTTCAGGACTCATAAAGTGGATTTACCATCGGAATGGATTAATAATGAATTCACAAGGGAGGTTTAGGAGTCAATTAGTATACACGCGCTTCGTTAGTTTTGTCTCACAGATGGCTCTTATTTGATATAATGATTGTAATAGCATGTCTATTGTACATAGTTGAACGATGTCAAACATTGTATTGCCAATAATAGTTTACGCAAGAAAAAAGCTATCATCGTTTTAAAAGTTTTTTTTTGTGGGGATTTTATCCGAGAAAGCATTTGAACTTTAATGAATCAGGCTTTACCCTAAAGCAACCCGTTTATTGGAAATATTCACTCCGTGTGTGTTTCTTTTCGTCTGTATTATTTATTTTAATATGAGACTCGTTTCTTGGTAACATCCACTCCGTGTGTCTAAAGCCTAATTTCCTGGCTTCGTTCATGGAAAGCTGAAAATCCCTACAAACACAATACATTTTGCGCATTGAACAAGATCTTTTAATTTCGTCAAAACCAACAGAGAAAAATAAGTGCAAGCACCATCGCACACCTCAGCATGATTATCACCACGATGGAGAGACCAAATCCAACAGCAACGATAGAGAGAATCCACGGCCAGGATTTTTGGATATCGCGTCCAACATCTTCGAAAAATGCGGTGCCCTGAGCGAAGGGCGAGTTCTGGGAAGTCACCAGCGCAGGGAAGCAGTAATACCCGACCAAGGAAGTCCTGAGGAGTTATTTGTCAATTAATTATCAAGTTTCTGCTACAAAAGTTCAGGTTCTGAGGTTAACAAAATGGGGATGATTGCCCACTAGGGGATTTACTAATTTTTCGGGGCTAGGAGAAAGTCAAATTTAACAATTTTTCGGAAATAATGGAAGATGAAATTTATAAATTTCGCTGGGTTAGCGGAAAGAGAAAAATATTTTTATTAAATTAATTTAACCCTACACATCGTCAATAACAAGATATGTGAAGAAATTAACTTACTAATATTGCCATGTTGAATAATTGGAAATGTAAAAAAGTTCGGTCACATTGTTTCATTTGATACATACTTTTGAGAAAATATAATAATATTGAGTATTTGTTCTCCAGCCTTCGCTGGGAAATATTGAGATTTGCTATGTTTTCAGATTGATTGTATTGGATAATAAATTGCACATGTTACAACGACCAGTTTTACGCAGCATTATAGTGCATGGATGCATGCGCAATAAGATTAGTACGTCACGATTAAACCTAATTATAAATTTTAATATACCTTGTTATGATTGTTAATACCTAATTATCAGGGATTAGATATTACAATGCCTATTAAATTCAAACCCTCATAGAATCTATTATAACCTAATTATTTTAATTATTACACGGATCTCACAACTTTAGTAACTCACCCATCGCCGCAAGTCTGAATGCATTCCTTCGAGATGGGATCAAAGTACCTGTGAGAAGTTAAGATGTTAGATTACAATATATAACAAACAATAAACGCTGCCAATGAAACTATGCTATCACTATATATACATATGCTATCAATATAACTAATAATTTTTCAGCAGTGAGCGTTTCTTTATATTTCCCAATAGACAGGTTCTTTTGAAACTCGACAAATTCATGATTTAGACGTTTATAAACAATAAAAGTCAACAATCGTCGAGTTAATTCGCAGTCAAACATGAAACTACGATAGTCTATACCAGATATTTGCAGACTAGTAAGTCAAAAATATAATAAATAAATAAATATACAAAATATAGAGATTGTAATTTTTCAAAAAATAAATAAATGAATAAATATGATTAAATAAATTAAATAGAAGTAAAAAATTACGGTAGGGCCGTTTTGTCTTGTCCAGATTTGGAGTTGTTGAAGTACATGTTGTTTTTAACGCCGCAAACGTTGCCATATTTGTCCGTGCCTCTGATGATGCGGTTCACGTCGCCTTGCGAGTAAGCTACCCCCAGGTATATGATCTGCGCGATTAAGAAAATAAGTAAAAAATAATTAATTTAAAACTGAATATTTAATATGATGATATTGTATAAATAAGATACATCGGTTAAATCTAGAACATAATCCTTCTTTGGTGGCATGGAAAATGTATGGTGATGTTAGAAACTGCTGTCACAATTACCCCAAGCAGAGACACATTTTTTTAAAAAGGGTTGCCTTTCAAAAGGATTCGAAAAGGTTGTCTTTCGAACGACATTGTCGACAGCAGTTATCCAGCATTTCTCTTCGAATCATAGATTACTGAGACTCATAGTGACGCCACCGGTAATGCGGCAGCCCGTATTATGGATTGCTGCCATTCATACTGACCCCACCGGTAATACGGCAGTCCGTATCATTGATTGCTGCCATTCATATAGACGCCACCGGTAATACGGCAGTCCGTATCATTGATTGCTGCCATTCATACTGACGCCACCGGCAATACGGCAGTCCGTATCATTGATTGCTGCCATTCATACTGACGCCACCGGCAATACGGCAGTCCGTATTATTTGCTGCCATCCATACTGACGTCACCGGCAATACGGCAGTCCGTATCATTCATTATTGCTGCCCTCCATACAGACACCACCGGTAATACGGCAGTCCGTATCATTGATTGCTGCCATCCATACTGACGCCACCGGCAATACGGCAGTCCGTATTATTTGCTGCCATCCATACTGACGCCACCAGTAATACGGCAGTCCGTATTATTGATTGCTGCCATCCATAC